TTTCTGAGATATATGTATGAGCAGAGAGAAAACTGTACTGGAAGCATTTTTTACAGAGTCAAATTTGAATATATAAGTAGTAAAGAGGAGTAAGTAAAACCAAAAAAGTCAAAAGAGTAAATAAGCAATAATAGCCAGGCCCAACAACACTGAAGATCAGATCACCTTAATTAATAACAATTAATATGATTAGCTTTATTTTTTTAAAGATTTATTTATTTATTTGAAAGGCAGAGTTACAGAGAGGCAGAGAGAGAGAGAGAGAGAGAGAGAGAGAAAGAAAGAGAAAGAGAAAGAGAAAGAGAAAGAGGAAGAGGAAGAGGAAGAGGAAGAGGAAGAGGAAGAGAAAGAGAAAGAGAAAGAGAAAGAGAAAGAGAAAGAGAAAGAGAAAGAGAAAGAGAAAGTGAAAGAGAAAGAGAAAGAGAGAGTCTTCCATCCACTGGTTCACTCCCCAAATGGCCATAAAGGCCCGAGCTGGGCTAATCCAAAGGCAGGAGCCAGGAGCTTCTTCCAGGTTTCCCATGTGGGTGCAGGGGCCCAAGGGCTTTGGCCATCTTGTACTGCTTTCCCAGGCCATAGCAGAGAGCTGGATGGGAAGTGGAGCAGCACCCATATGGGATGCTGGCACTGCAGGTGGTGGCTTTACCCCCAGGTCACAGCTTAGGCCCCTGTAATTAGCTTTAAATAAGAAACAGTTGTTGTTTTAAGGAAGGCTCTAAGGAACAGGGCTGCTTAGGGTCCCTGAAAGTATATCCTTTACATGGTTATCAACTATACCTAGCTCTGAAATCCTTTTCTACTAAGCTATATTTATTGGGTCTCCTAATACTCCTATACTTAGGTATTGTCAATACTTTAGTTGTTTAATTTTTGAACTCATACAATCAAAATCTTAGTTATTTCTCTCCCTGCCATGATACTAAGGAAAAAATACATTCCCCTTTAAATTCTCAGAAGGTTCTCTGGAAGTGTTACTTTAAATGCAGAGACTGGCCGGCGCCGCGGCTCACTAGGCTAATCCTCCGCCTAGCGGCGCCGGCACACCGGGTTCTAGTCCCGGTTGGGGCGCCGGATTCTGCCTCGGTTGCCCCTCTTCCAGGCCAGCTCTCTGCTGTGGCCAGGGAGTGCAGTGGAGGATGGCCCAGGTGCTTGGGCCCTGCACCCCATGGGAGACCAGGAAAAGCACCTGGCTCCTGGCTCCTGCCACCGCGGCGGCCATTGGAGGGTGAACCAATGGCAAAGGAAGACCTTTCTCTCTGTCTCTCTCTCTCACTGTCCACTCTGCCTGTCAAAACATAAAAAAATAAATAAATAAATGCAGAGACTGACAAAAACATTACAAAGTGATGGATTACCTGATTCAAATACTGACGCTATTAGAAAAAAGGGAATATCTAGAAATTAAGGAATTTGCATCTATTTAAATTTGGCTATTGTTTTCTGTTAATGAAAAACAGGAAGATTTGATTTCTTGTTAGATTCTTGATCTCAACAGTTTTTGCTGGATGTACTATAGTCCTCAAGTCTAATTGTTCAACAGGTGCCAAATTGGTCATTTTTCAGTTGTGAAAATGGAAACAATATAAGTTGTGAGCCTGGCATATTAGTATCAACACAAAATATTCAGTAGTTTGAATGTACAGGGAACACTTAAAAATAAATTTTTAAGGGGCTGGTGCTATGGAGAGGAGCTGGCTGAATTCTGGCAGTACCACCTCTGATTCAGCTCCCTGTTGATGTGCCTGGGAAAGCAGTGGAAGATGGTCCAAGTGCTTGGGCTCCTGCACCCACGTGGGAGACTCCAGTGAAGCTCTGGGCTCCTGGCTTTGGCCTGGCCCAGTCCAAGCCTTTTCAGCCATTTGTGGAGTGAACCAGCAGATGGAAGAGCTCTCTCTCTCTTTCTCTCTCTCTCTGTAATTCTGACTTATAAATAAATAAATCTAAAAAATAACCAAACACATTTTTAAGAAAACAACCTTATTTAACTTTTATGTAGCCACCTATTATAAGCAAAGTACTATTTTTAGTACTTTCCAAACATTAACTTGTTTAATCATCAGGACAACAGGATCACCAGACACGGTCAGATGACCTGAGTGGGGAGAGAGAAGCTACATAGCACCGAGATTCATTCTCAGAGAATGTGGCTCTAAAATCCGAAAGCTGGTGCACATCCTAGTACCCTATGCAGTGTTTGCTGCACAAAGCAAGGAAGCTCTCAGGAGCAGAGCAGAGAGGAGCCCTGAGAGGACAGCCTGTGGCTGGAGTAAGAAAACCTGAGTGAAGCTCCACAGTTCACCTTGCTGTGGTTGCTCTTTTATTTTGATCTCTGACGACAGCATAGGAGACCCAATACCTTACCCCAAAAATATGACTGCAAGAAAACAGAAGCTCCACTCCAAGACAGGCTTCCTTGGAGTAAAAGTTATTTTAAGCTGATTATTTTTGAAAACTGCAGACACAGGAGAAACTCTGAGAATCCACAGGAACCTTTTGTAAGGGAAATTTACGTCTAACTTACAAAGGAAATCTCCATATGTAAGGGTGTCTCCCTCTCTTCTCAGAAGGCATGAATTCACTGCTAACTCTCCCTGAAAAGATGCTTTCCCTGGTCACTTCACTAGCGAGCCCCTAACATTCTTCTTCCTTTGTTTTGGTTGAAGAAGGAAGTTAGCCTGAACCTAAAGCCACCTCTCTGAGGTCTACTGATCTCCCTGGTATTTCCCACATGCACATAAGGCTTATGTTTTAATAAACCTCTGTTTGTTTTTCTCCTGTTACCTTTATTTTCTGTTTTTTGTTTGTTTTGTTGTAAGATCTGTTGCAACTAAGAACTATGAAAATGTTAAGGCAGCTGGGTAGATGTTAGCCTATGTCTATGAGAGGGGCTGAAGAAAAGAGGTTTTAAAGAAAATAAATTCATGTGCAATGGAACAAGCAAACAAGTCCTGAAAGCAGGACCCAGACTCTAGGCATCCCATTTGCCCAACATCTCCTTGCCAGTTCTTTATCAAAAGAAATTCCCTGATTTGGGGAAGGATACAGCTGGCCAGACAAGGTTCTGATCATGGGACTGAGGGAGTCATTTGCTTCTCCAACAGTAAAGAACCCTGATGGTCAGTTAGTTTCCAGAGTGGTTTGTTTAGAGGAACTCCCCACCTAACACAATTGTAATTGTTCTTACTTACAATCCTGCTGGATGGGTTTTAGCCCTCTCCCAGGGGGCAGCTCAATGGAATCTCATCTTCCTTTCACCAAGGCAACTAAGGAGAAGTTCTGGGAGGTATTCCACACCCAGAAATCCCTCACTCACACTTTCTCAGAAGGAGGCGGAAGGGAGAAGAAATGGGGGACCCATACTCATGCCCTCCTCAGTCTAAATACAAACTGTCCTCAGTATTTTACTGAGATGCCCACCTGGTCTGTCAGGAGTAGGGGCTTCAGTCTCTCTACATTTTCAATAAAGCTTTGCTAAATTTGCCTTCCTCAGCAGGACAAGTTCCTCTAAGTTCAAATCAGAGGTAACAAGTCAACAATGACTGAATGGCTTATGAGGTCCACAGATCTCACTGTATTCCCAATGTATTTCTTTGACTAGGGTCAAACTCCAGAGAACTGTAAGCCTTTCCCATTGTCAACTCTACTACTTTACTGAAAGATTATATCGATGGGAACCAATGTATCAATTACTTACTTATGGCCTTCTAAAAAAGTAAAAAGAGGAAATTTTTCACATAGGAAGTTCCCTTCAATTTTCTTTATAGGATTGGGGGATACTTGCCTGTCAGAACTGTAGCTATTTGAAATGCCAGCATCTCCCTAAGCTGTAATGTGTTATCTTCAATACAATATAATAATATATAGTAACAATACAAGAAAGATGTATAGTAATAGCAAGGTTTTCCTGTTAAAATGATTTCCATAATTGAATAGGAAATCCTGTTCAGAATTTTCCTTAACCTATATATAAATTAAAATATGTTCTCAGAAAAAAAACCTACATAATAATTCTCCAGGTGGTAATTTTCTGAACAAAATAGTCACTCAGAATTTACAATCAGAAAGCAAAATAACTATATCTACTAATGAGTGTGTTTTATTTTTATTACATGTATTTGTTAAAATTATTTTATAATAAAGGCTACAGCAAGGCAGACAAAGAAATAAACTATAACAGTTAAGTTTTTAAAAATGAGATGTCTACATTATGGTCTCTAAGGAACATATAACATTAAATAATTCTAAATATATTTTTATTTCCATGGAATGACATTGAAAGGTAACACTTTGGCACTAATTCATCACCAAAACAGGCAAATTTTCTCTGTGATATCTTATTGATGTGTTTAGCAGGATTTTTATAACTATCTAAGGAGTGACATTTTACTTTTGTACAGCTTAGCAATGCATCAATATATTCACTTCTATTTTTAAACATACAGATATTTTACAATGCTTTCATAATTTAAAATTCTCAGTGCAAGCACCAAGATGACCTTTACATTTAAATTTACTATTCTATCGGTTCCAATAAAAAAAATGGAGAAAAAGTGGGAGGTTAAATATGGACAAACTCAAAAATACTTTCCTTTGCAGACAAATGTTGAGGAAACTGGTACTTGTGCACATAATAGTAGTACAATGCTTTTTAGAGTTTTCCCTAGAACTTCCTCTGCACATTAAATTTCATGGTCCTAAATTGATGCTTATTAAAATGCTTGAAGGATGAAGCAAAGAATACAAGTGTTCCTTGTAATTTCTCAAGTAGCTTTTAATGCCTTAATTTCTCAAGAACAGAGTAGAGTTTGGGAAAATATGCAGGCACACAAATAAGTGCTGGTATTCGTACATGAAGCATAAGTACCAACCTTGAGGAATAAAGGCATTCTTTAGAAGCAGCATAAAGACCGTTAACAAAGACAAAGGGCATTGATGATACAGGATTTTGTATATTTACTTATTAGAAATAGAATTTCCAAATCCGAAATGGGCAGACTTACTGGTACATGCCATGGAAGGTGGGTCTTTTTCAGCTCGGAAATAACCCTTCTCACACTGACACACAGAAGTTGCTTCCTTGTAGGTTAAACTGTGTGGAGGGCATTTAGAACACTTTGCGTTGCCGGCAAATGCTTTATAGAATCCTGGTCTGCAAGCTTGAAAACAAGAAAAATAATGTTTTTAAAAAAGTTATTATTCTAAAGTTCTTTTATTTGACATGTACAACATTCTTTGATTTTTACATACTTTGGATCTTAAGAGTTCAGTGTCTTACATACAGAACACTCAATATAGATTAATATTAATGAATGAAATTAGCTTAACAAAATCATGACAACACTGGTATCATATTCTAGTGGACATTGCTGATTTTTAAAAGTATACCTCAAGCAACACTGGTATGTCTTTAACACCTTAGTAGTTAAAAAAATTTCATTTATGTATGCCATTAACTATCATTTTTTAGAGTTTATATTTAATTTTATAATAACACTTCACCAAATGATCTAGTAATTCAACACTGTCAAAATTCTCAATTCTGCATAATAAAGTTACTTTTAAGAGGTTGATTAGTCAACATCAAGATCAACAGGGAGTGGTGATTGGACCCCCTTCAGAATGTTGGACACCTAAAACTTACTCTGCATAGAACTTTGAACACTTTTTCTGACCCAGCTACCTGCATGGTTTTCTCTCTCCCTCACATGAGCTCTTTGATCAAATGTCAGTTTTATCGCCAAAGTCTTCCTGCATTTCCCACTGAAAATTCCAATTCCTGCTAGACCCCAATGTAGTATTACGTATTACCCTCCTCTCTTTTCCACAGTCTTCACATACCTGTGTCAACATCTGACACACATCATATTTAATTTTAAAAGCATTCTCCAATCAGAATGTGTGTTTTTTATGTTTCTCTTACTAAAGTGCATCTCCAGACTCAGAGGAGCGCTGTTAGGTCCTCAGTGAGCATTTGGCACCTGAATGCATGGTCAAGGGACTCCTTTAATTTCCATGAATTGACCATGCTTTTTCCTCTGCTTACTGCCATTCTGTGACCCACTTATCTTTCGAACTCATAGCCATCAGGCCTCACTGCTTTCAGGAAGCCATTCCTGATTTTTGTGACTAACAAAGTCCCTCAAAGCATCTGTGCATTTTCCACATTAGTTATTCTTTAACAAAAACTTGTTTAATGGCTTTAAGTTCCACAGGGCAGGTTGGGATAGTGCTCAGTGCTTGTCATAAAGTAGGTGCTCAATACATACTTGTTTAATTGAATTGGACAGTGTGTGAGAACTCTGATAATTAAATTTATGCAGATCATCATTCATTTATATGCAGTGAGTGCTTTGATCATGGCATGATTTACCTTACTGTAAAGTTCTTTTTTTCTTGTGGCAATTCTTTATCACAAGGAATATAATCATAGTTAATATCTTAAAATTTATTTGATGTTGGTGCTACAATTTCAATCCTACAACTGGTTTCAAATGTTTGTCTACATCAAAATTGCCTTTGAAACCATTACAATTTGTTCTCATAAAATATATTTGGATTGTTAAAATATGAGTCTATTTTTATATTACTATGCCATTTTTATTTCATTAAAAAATAAAGGATTCTGGTATTGAAAATGCTAGAAAACCATTTTTAGGCATTTACATGTTATTTATGCAGCACACATTAAGATTAAACTTCTTTAGTCTGAATAATATTCAATTATTTCTACTTTATCACTTCTGTCAATTCAACTTTTTGTGATCACTAGAGATAGATCTAACCATTCTGGTATCCATGGTGCTTAGTATATTTCAAGTACATATTCAGTTCTTACACATGCTTAAAAATTGAGTACCAGTGAATAATGGTGAATTCCCTAATGCGTAGTATGAAATTACTAGAACTCTGTAGATTAAATGAGCATTCCACATAACTATTCAATTAGTGATTTAATTTTTGCTTATATTTCTGTTAAAGTGGATTTATCAGTACCTTTGTCTTAAGAATTTTTAAATTGCTTTCTTACATTAGCCTTCTTTCTTCGCCAGTTCCTCCCTTCTCTGTTTATAAGACATGTAAACTTCTTCCAAAAAATTCAAAAAGCAAAAATCTTGATTCATTGGCAAGAATATTTTCCAGCAAGACAATTACTGTACTGAATGCTGTTGGAGAGCTAGATTATCTTTTGTAGCAGTTTCTATTATTTCTTTCACACACACAGAAAATTATTATTGAGATATGGACCTTCAGTTTAAACTGCGATTGCTACTATGATTCTACTTTTTAACTTCCTTCCATAAAATACACATTAATTATTTAAACCTGTATCACTTAAACTACTGCATTCATCTTCAGACTGCCTGCCTCTATCTTTTCCCTTCTCAAATCCATTCACAAATTACTGCTGGTGACATTTCTAAATAGCAGGGATGATCATACTACACTATTCTATACAGCAGAAGCCAGCAAACAATCACCATTTATGTTCTCACAGTTTATACGACGTCAAAAAGTTAATAATTTTGCAGTTTATTTGTAGTTTTTAAAAAAGATTTATTTATTTGAAAGGCAGAGTGACACACAGAGATCTTCCATCCACTGTTTTACTCCCCAAATGGTGACAACAGCCTGGACTGGGCCAGGGTGATGCTAGGAGCAAGGAAATCTATCTAGGTCTCCCATGGGGATGGCAGGGACTCAAGTACTTGAGTATTTGTCTGTTGCTTCCCAGGTACATATACAGGGAACTGGATTTGAGGGCAGTGTTCAGGCCTCAAACTGGCACTCTAATATGGGATGCAGGTGTCCCAAGTGGTGGTTAACCCACTGCACCATAACAACTGTCTTATTTGCAGTTTTTATGTGAAACTTATGCCTCAATAAAGCTGTTCAAATACTATGATACGGAGCCAGTGCCATGGCTCACTTGGCTAATCCTTCACCTGGGTGCCGGCATCCCATATGGGTGCCAGGTTCTAGTCCTGGTTGCTCCTCTTCCAGGCCAGCTCTCTGCTGTGGCCTGGGAGGGCAGTGGAGGATGGCCCAAGTGCTTGGGCCCTGCACCTGCACAGGAGACCAGAAAGAAGCACCTGGCTCCTGGCTTTGGATCGGTGCAGTGCCGGCCGTAGCAGCCATCTAGGGAGTGAACCAATGGAAGGAAGACCTTTCTCTGTGTCTCTCTCTCACTCTGTCTATAACTCTACCTGTCAAATAAAATAAATAAATAAATAAATACTATGATACATGAAAGGTCAGAAAGAAGTATAAGATTTTTTAGCGTGGAAGATGAGCTTAGAAAAAACAGATGTAAAACTAAGTGTGAAGGAATTTAAATGCTGATCTAAGTTTGGACTTCATTCTAGAGACCAGATGTTGGCAAGCTTTTGCTCTCCAGGATCATTTAGTACATATGGGGTACTTTTAGAAGTTCACAGAAAATACACATTATGCATATTTTCATGGGGTCTCTGACTATACAACTCCTGCAATAGGTGCTCCATGACTGTCAAGGTAGAATATCCCTATCATTAATATCAAATCAGCAAGCCTTTATCTTTTTATACCAAAATAAACTTATCTTTTCATTCCATTTTTCTATGAATTGTAATCATGTCCACTGACTCCATGCTTTATTTTTGCACATTTGTGTTACCAGATTTAAAATGAACTTCTTGTAAATAGTATAAGCCTGAGTTTTGTTTTGTTGTTAAGCCAATCTGACAATTGCTGCCCTTTAACTGGGGCATGTTTACATGTATCTACTAATTTAGAGAGGTTTTAAGTATATTTTGCTATGTTTTTGATCCATATATTCATTGCTATATTTGCATTTTGCTTTTTGATCTGTATATTATTTGCTATATTTGCATTTTCTCTTCCTGCTTTTACAATAACAGCATGTATTTTATAACTCCTTTATTTCTTCTGATGGCTTATGTGCTTATCAATAGAACTATGGTGAACACTCAGGAAAAACCTCTGCAGCTCTCCAGAGTTCTCTTTCCTAGCAGCACTCTGCTGTCTCAAACTCTGTCTTGCTGCCTTCGTCCCCCAGACTCTCAGACCTGTCTTCACAACTCAGAATAACAGTTTACCAGACTTTGTCAGGATACTGCCTCTCTCTGACATAGCCTAGAAAATTTCCCAAAATAGTAAGATGGAACAATCACACAGATCTCCTTTATCACCTCCCAGTTATCTGATATCTCATGTCTTCAAAAGAACTTTTCACATATTTTGCATGGGTTTTCCTGATTTATTTAATGTAGCAGATGTTATTCCAGTTTGACAGCAAGTAAAAATCAAACTACTAAATCCCCCTAAATTCCTAATTTTTCTAATTGTCTTCCTTTCTCTAATGCCCGTCCCTTATCTTCTACAACTAGATTCTCAAAGACAAATCAACACATATATTTCAATACTCTTGTCACTACTGGACTGTCTACTAGGGTGAAGGAGATACATAATACAAGTGCTGGTGAGGATACAGAGGAATTTGAACTCTTGTGTATTGCTGGAGAGGTTTAAATTGGTGGTACTGTGTTGGATGATGGTTTGGCAAGATCTACATAGGTTTATTATCTGATAGAACAATTGTAACTCTTCATTATCTACTCAACAGAAAAAAGCACAAAATCAAAGCTGTTGGTTTCATTGCAAGCAGCTATACTAAATTCCATTGCTGATTGAGCTAAGATTCTTCCATTTGTTTCTTATTTTCTGAAATTGTGGAAACATCTTGAACTTTCTGACTTGGACTTGACCTTTCTGAGTGAAGATAAATTATGCTAATAGTTTAACAAAAAGCTTACACTTTACTGAGTTTTTGATGTTATATTAGAATGAGTATATTCAGTTGAGAATAATCAAATTACAAATAAGTCACTATTTATGAAATTTTCTGAGATGATTCCTTGATTTTGTGTTGCACTGTAACTACTGATAAAAGCAGAAATAATGCTAGAAGAATAAATAGAACATGAGTGTGATTTAGGACATGTGGGTCCATAAAATGTAATTATTAAGTCTAAGTTAAAATATTACAGGAATTATATAATAGTCTAAGCTACAAAATATAGTTTCCTGCTTCAAAAATGGTTGTAATTTGAGGAAACTTTAAGTGATTGCTACAATTAAAGATGTAATACATCTCACA